CGTTACAGCTATTTCTACTGTATTTGCGCAGTGTAAATAGCAGTTTGGGGGAAAGCAACACAAATATAAACGACTGCGCTGTAATAGTTACTCGATTTCTCGGGGCAGAAATTGTGAGCGCATTCAATTACATTTTTCAGGAAGCATTTCGAAATTTTTCTCGTCTACGTTTCTTTTCTTTGGTAACGCGCACAAGAAAAAAAAATGCCTTGTGGTGTCCTCTTGGCGCTGTATAAAAACGTCTAAAGAAACACGCGTAAAAAAAAAAGTAGCCAGCGTAGTCGCTGGTGCAACATGCTCCAAGAGTGCAGCAGCGCAGTAGCAGCAAGAAGAAGAAAAAACAGCAAGATCGACAGGAAGAAAGAAACTGTCACCAGTCGATTAATCAGGAAGCTGTGCGCTTAATTATCTGCGTGATTGGTAATTAAATAGTGTCGGGCACTGTTTCTCGTCGGTATAGTTCGGGGCGGGGTAGCTTGCTCTTCTTTGTGCGCGGTTGTCCTGCATCAGGGACAGTAAGAAGACGTCTGTGTTTCGCCCGTATACAACGCGTGTAAATCGCTTATCAAACTGCGACAAAAAGCGAGCTGCAGGCGCACTATTGTAAATGTGTCAGATTCTCAGGGCGCGTGAACGGAAGTGCGTTATTTCGGTGCTTCGTGGTGGGCGATATATGATACGTTGCTGGTGAAGCTGTTAGCTTTTTCGAAATTATGGTGATCACAAATAATGGTAATTTGTGACGTCATAAGGTGACGTCATCACGTGATGGCGACGATAATGATGATGATTCTTTGATCACTCGTCACCTTGAAATACATTTGCCCTAAAAATAACTCATCTGACTTTTTTGCTACGTATGTAACTGAGGATGATTTTTGGATTATTCGTCACGTTAAAATAACTTTGCCCTAAAAATAACTCCTCTGACTTTTTTGCCACGTATGTAACTCACGCATATATAACTTTCTTCAAAGAGACACACCAATTCTCATTTGGAGATACGTGGGACGCATGACTCGTTAAAAGAGTTTCTCTCGTTAAAAGAGAATTATGTGAGAGTTACACGCGTAGAAAAAAAAACGAGCCAAGGGACTTCCTTTTATTTTCTTCAAGTGGACATTTCCAATCACATTTCTGGTATTTCTGTTATTGCGGATCCCATTTTTTTATTCTTTTATTTTTAGAAGATATTTTGCTAAAATAATCTGCTTCTTTTCTGTGTTACTACACTTTTTCAAGAATGTGCCGTTTGCTGAACACTATACGAACATACAAGAGCCATTTGTATCAAGATATATATATTTTATATGTATTACAGTATAGTTAATTTCTTGTTCACCCTCATAGTGCAGCAGCTGTGTGCTTGCATCACTCTGTGCGAGTTAATTGATGTAATTATTATTGAAACGAAAAAAAAATGCGCCTTTGGAGTGATAGGCTCATTGGTCGTATCCTGTATTCCGCAGACCTCAAAGATACTGCAGCAGTGGTTGAGCTACCGCTAGCTTGATTATGACGACCGTGGCGTATCGTACCGACAGTGATGCAGCGTCTCAATTGCAGAAAGTATATCTTAGGAACATGGAGAGGTGTAATTCACTTATATAAAAAATCAGGTAGGCCGGTCTAAAGAAACTACTTGCCATGTCTTACGCGGGGTATTCGATAGGAGTTGACGAACGGAAATCTCAGTTGAATATTGCAGCGCGCTACTAAAACACACAAAGAAACGACTCGGGAAAACGCAAAAGTGAACTGTGGACCTTCCCTGTGTGGTTTTTTGTGTGTGTCATTAACGCGCTGCAAAATTCAACTATCTACAATCAACATGGACCGCCCCAAGGCTACCCTTCTGAAGCCCTTGCACCGCAGCACTTCGCAGAACGTATTTCGTTAATTTAAATGTTCTTCGAAGAATAGACGAAAGGAAAGACTAACAGGTGCGTTTCGGGAGGGAAAAAAAAGGATCTCAACCCTCTCAGATCAGATGCGTGCGCTTAAAACCGCCCCGCCGCGGTGGTCTAGTGGCTAAGGTACTCGGCTGCTAACCCGCAGGGCGCGGGTTCGAATCCCGGCTGCGGCGGCTGCATTTCCGATGGAGGCGGAAATTTTGTAGGCCCGTGTGCTCAGATTTAGGTGCACGTTAAAGAACCCCAGGTGGTCTAAATTTCCGGAGCCCTCCACTACGGCGTCTGTCATAATCATATAGTGGTTTTGGGACGTTAAATCCCACATATCAATCAAGCGCTTAAAACCGAGAGTGTGAGGACCGCTAAAGACTTGGCCACAGACAGGCGTGGCCACCGACCAAGCACCGGGAAACAATTAAATCCCGCCAAACCAAACTCTTTACAAAAACCCTCCGATAATGCGCCCCTGATCGACAGTAAACGAGTTAGAGCCCAATCCTCTTCCGCGGGGGACGAGAAGCGCCAGAGCGCGGCGCCGCCGAAGGAGACCCCTCGCGGCTGTTCGCGGCCTCTCGTGTTGTTGCGCCGTGACCAGATTTGCTCCCGCCACAGCATGCACCTCGAGCGATCGGTGTAATGACATTTCACGCTACAAAGGAACCACGAGACGGGTGCGCCCGCAACGCCGACAGGAGGCGCGTGCGTCTGTGCGGCCCCGACCGTCGTATACCGCTACTATAGCATCTCTCTCCTTCGCGAACAGCGGCTTTCAAAACCGCCACCGGCTTAACTCCCCCGACTAGTGTTTCCATCCGACCGACAAATGCATCTTCCCATCCCTTTCCGCAGCCACTGGGCTGCTCTGTTATCCTCTGCTCCTCTTTCCGTTATTTCTTTCCCGTCGAGACTGCAGCCTTGCGCGGAGAGTGCGTCGTTGGAGCGTCGCCAGTGGGTCGTGAAATGCAGCCCGATCGACGAAGACACGGTGTTGGAAGCGTTGCGACAAGGTCTGGCGACTGTTTCGATGACGAGCACGGGGCGCGGGACAGAAGAGCCACGGGGGGGATTACTCCTGCGACGCGCAGCGATTGGGAGAGACGCGTTGCGCGAAACGATGCAGTCAGTGCGTTGCCCGCTCCGAGCGCAAAAGAAATCGGCTCCGGAGAATGAGTCGGGCAAAATGGAGCGCAGGCGAGCTTCCCAGGACACGCATTGCGAAGCTGCTGGGTTCTCATCAGAAGTGTGTTTCGGTCTCGTCCTTGTCGCGGTCTTGAAACGGTGCGCCCGATTAGGTATACGGAGATTGTTTCAAGTGAAGTCGGATGAAGACGTATACTTTTCGGAATCGCCTGTGTAGGGCATCTCTATTATATACATAGATGAAGGATACAAGTTTACTGATTTATAGTGGGTTGATTCATACGTGTAATGTTCGCGTATTTCTACTGGTCATGACATTTACCGAGACATGTCTGTATATATCCTTCAATGTGTGAACTCTCCCAACTAAACTAATGCGGCTGTTTGGGCCAATCCGTGTACTATCATCTTCGCATACACGTGCAACGGGCCTGAGAACATATTTGTGTACGTATGTGCTCGTATGAGTGAGCGTGTTCTTTCGTATTGCGAAAAAAACGTTACGTAACAGGATACAAGATGAAGGCGATGGATGTCATTAAAAATATCTGTACTTTATGAGGTTAGTTTAGTTTCAAAAAGCTTTCGTTGGACACGTCGACTTTACACTTTCTTGTAATAACGTACGCATGTCAGAACTCCCAGGCTGCATGCTATAGTAGTGATTTGGTCTTAAAAGGAAAACACTGCTTTACCACGGCCGAGAATTTGGGCTTAAAATACGCGAAGGATGCGCAGAAGCAGTGTGTGAATTGTTTTCATTAGGCTTCATATTAATCCTTATTGCTGCATAGCATAGGCAAACACTGGTCTGACGTGGGTACTTTTGATCGCGATAAGGCCAGATCCCTAATCACGACGTAGTGCGTGGGTGAGATAACGTTGGCCGGATATAACTGCTAACCTGCAAAGATAACTGCTAGTCTTCGGGTATAAAGCGGCCGCAGCAAGCACGAGACCGGGTTGATTGGCGTATCATGCGAAGGGCCTTTGCGCTGCAGTGGGCGAAGTCAGGTTTGATTGATTTGTCGGGCTTAACGTCCCAAAACCACCATATGATTATGAGAGACGCTGTAGTGGAGGGCTCCGGAAATTTAGACCACCTGGGGTTCTTTAAAAGTCAGGTTTGCAATAATGATGATTATGAGGGCCAGTGGTGATATTTCTTGATCGCAACCAACAGTCTTCACTGCTACACGGTCCAACCGAATGGGAATTCAGTTTGGCTCAGATATCAGTTGAATCACCAGATCAGCCAGATCTCGCTGCGCAGATTCCGTTCGTCTACATCCCGATATGGTCTGGTCGTGACTAAAAGTGACCGTGCACCAGATCCAGATCAAGTCCAGACGGAAGCGGATCCCGAGGGTAGCGGTGATCCCCCACCTCCTCCAAAACCTGCGTCAGCACCTCCAACCCACCCTTCAATGATTGTCGTGCACCTCCAGTCACCGATTATGACAGTGATTGGAACCACTGCGAGCACAGATTAATAGTATTTATGCTGTGATGGTGTTCTAATGACAATCCACTAAAAACAAGAGAGTTCGGATTCCGCGTCCCCTCCCCCTCCTCCCTCACCGGTTTTCTTCAACGGTGACCGCCCCACTCCTAAATTAAGCGGCTGAATACGAACCCGAGTTCAGGCCGAATCAGCCTTCATCGCGGTCAAACTTCCCGAGTTGTACACATATAATACAGCTATGTAACAAGACGCCACGAGAATTTCGATAAGACCAGCTATCATATTTGAACAGCGACTTCAGTATCGTATATGTTAAAGATAATACGAGCGGTTTACCGCTCTCAGTACTTGCCAAGTACGATATTTTGACAAAAGGAAAAGGTGGAGTTTCAATAACTTCTGAAGTATGTACTCGAGTGATTTTTCGATTTGCGCGTCGTTCCTATCATGCTTAAGAAGCGACTTCATCGCCCCTGTTTCAGAAACACCCGTCTCCGTCCACCACGCGCCCAGAGCCACGGGACCTCTTCTGGAACCGAACCACGGCGCAGGTGAGCAGGCGAATGTGGAAGGTACGGGACTTCGTTATTATTGTACTAATGTCATTGTACCACTCAAATGTGAGTGCCACTACACCGTACGCGCACACACTGAAATGTTGCAACGTGCTGGATTGGAAGTATAACGGCAGCGAAAGTCGACTTCTCCACGCAATATGTCACGTTGCAGAAAAGCCAACTTCAATAAATGTTTTCTCACTTAATTGCGCAAGTACGTTAAAATTTCGAAATATTTGCACGGTTTTGTTTGTGCAGTCTATCACTATCAGAACGATATACACTCTTTCCAGCCATCAGCTACGTAATGCACGACTTGGATGCGAGCTAAGTAGCACGTACTTGTCACGAAAACACGGCGCTAATTTAAACGTGGACACGGAAACATCACACGAGGACAGTACCCGTCGTCGTGTGACGTTCACCTGTCCGTGTTCGAATTAGCGCCGTGTTTTTATGTTACATAAGGCGATTACACGGACACATAAGCGAGCTTTTGGAACTGTGCACTGTTGTCGTAGACGCGATTGTTAAGAAACAAGAAAAGTGTACAAATCTATCATCGTGGTACATCGCCACCGATGGGTGGCTGGGGCTTTGTCAAGCTGTCATTGGACAGCTTTTTCCCCGGCTACCTTTTTTCACCGTAAATGTTTTTGTTTTTGGTGAAACTAAAGATTATTTGATTGATTGATTGATTGATTGATTGATTGGCTGATTGAGTGATTGATTGGCTGATTGATTGATTCAAAGACTCCCGAAGAGCGTTTCACGCAGTCTTTCTCGCAGGAGCAGCCGGCCCCGCGCAGCAGCGGCGGTAGCCGCCACTCGTCGTCATCATCGCAACAGCAGCAGCAACAGGCTGCAGCCGCTGCCAACGAGGTACGCACCGTGCTCCTGTACGGCGTGCCCATCGTGGCGCTGGTGATCGAGGGCCAGGAGCGGCTCAGCCTGGCGCAGATCTCGAACACGCTGCTGAAGGACTACTCGTACAACGAGATACACAACCGGCGCGTCGCCCTGGGCATCACGTGCGTCCAGTGCACGCCCGTGCAGCTGGAGCTGCTGCGGCGAGCGGGCGCCATGCCGGTCTCGTCGCGACGCTGCGGCATGATCACCAAGCGCGAGGCCGAGCGGCTCTGCAAGTCCTTCCTGACGGACACGCCGCCCCCGAAGCTGCCCGAAAACTTCGCCTTCGACGTGACGCACCAGTGCGCCTGGGGCTGCCGCGGAAGCTTCGTGCCGGCGCGCTACAACTCGTCGCGCGCAAAGTGCATCAAGTGCGCCTACTGCTCGCTCTTCTTCAGCCCCAACAAGTTCATCTTCCACTCGCACCGACTGCCGGACTCCAAGTACGTGCAACCGGACGCAGCAAACTTCAACTCCTGGCGGAGGCACATCAAGCTCAGTGGGACTCCTCCGGAGGACGTCAGCTACGCCTGGGAGGACGTCAAGGCCATGTTCAACGGGGGCTCGAGGCGACGCGTGGCCGTCTCTTCTTCTTCGTCCTCATCGTCCTCTTCTTCAGCCTCCAAGAGGGCGCGCTCCTCGGCCGGCGACAGAGACGCTCTCCAGGTGGGTCACCTGCAGTTTGGCCGCTGTACACACTCACTGAGTTCGCTGGCACCCTCAACGCGAGCTGCTTGAATTTTAACGCCATTTGAGTCCATTATTACAGCAATCAACGTCTGTCTCATTACGAACAGGAGCCGAACTCAGAAAACTCATATTTCGTAAGTTCGGTTTCGCATTAGTCGTTCAGCATCACTAACAATCTCCCCCGTATCGTGACTGGTTGCAATTACACATTACTAAAATTTCAGCGCATGATGTTTCTGGGAATACGGGCCCCACTTGTCTAAACAAGGCGAAGCCCTGGCTTAGGCTCGCAGTGCAGGTGACGGTGGAAGCTGTGTTGCGCGGCATGTTACTCCCTCGACCATTGACTATAGCATGCGTGTAAGCGGTCTCGGCGCACGCAGCCGCCCAAGCCGCAGCCGGTGGCCGCTCCGCCGGCACCCTACTTCCCGGTGCTGCCCCTGTCGAGCGGCGGGCCGGCGGCGCTCTTCCCGCCTCCGCTGCTCTGCCTGAGCGGCAGCAAGGCGACCGGCGGCGGAACGCCGGTGTTCGGCGACTACGTCTGGATGGGCGGCGGCAGTGCCAAGCCGTACGGCGCGCTATGGCCTCCGCCGCCTCCCGGACCACCGAGGCTGCTGGCCGCCGAACCGTCGTTCGCGTCTTTGGCCGCCGACGATGCACCGCCCGCACTGCTGGGAGGTCTGGGAGGCGGCTCGGCGCCGCTGTCCTACGCGTCAGCCTTCAGGCCCGTGGCCGGCACGGCCGTGGGCCGCGTCGCCAGGTCACCCACGTGAGTCATAACTGCCGTCGGATGATCATTCTTGAGCACTTTAGCTGTCGGCGGTGCCTATGTTTTGATAAGTGGGCTTCTCTCCTTCAATGCTGCATGGTTCCAGTGAATTCTAAAACTAAAAAAGTATCATCTCTTCAAGCTCTTATCTTCCCTTATCATCTGTCTTTTTGTTTATCTCTAAGTGATGTCCCCATCAAACAGATAAAGATCGAAGTGATCGAGTTTGAACCATATTCAAAATGGTAAATTTCGTATTTACCAAGATTGAGTCAAATAGCCATGAAGCAATCTCATATGCGCTATTATTATTAGTTTTAGAAAAAAAAATTGCCTCGAATCTACATGTTACACTGCAAATGTCGTCGAAAGATGATAGTCTTGTATTTGGAGAAAGTGAACGAGATGTTTATTTGATGTTCTGCGCAAGAAAATTAATGGTATTCTGGAGGCGCTGCGTTTGTGCCTCGAGCGTGTAGCGGAGGCGAACGAGCGCATCGAAGCACGTTAGACACGAGCGCCATCTGACAGTTCGAAAACGAAGGAAGGCGTGCGCGCCCGCGGAGAAAGATGCGCGCCAGTCTCGGAGGTGATAAGGTGTATAACGCAGAGCGCCGGACAGGTGCCACCACCGTGTTGTCTTAGCAAAGCGTTCGAAGCACTTAACTTTTTGAGCATCGCGTTGCACTGTCAGCGTAGCGCGATAAACTCTGCGGTCATTATAATTACTTGTGTGTACATTAGTATGAAGGCACACATACAAAAAATCGATGTGTTGTTATGATGCCTCAGATGTGCGCGATAACTGCTCTTTAATTGACAATCACACAAGTATGAACGCTGAACCTTGAGCAATATTGGTGGGCGCTGCGGATGGGGTTGGCCGTTTGGTGCCAGTCGAGGTATCGGTAAGAGCAGACAGACAAATGTGCAGACAGACAGACAAACAGACAGACCAAAATTTTTCCGTCGATGGTCCCCAAGAAAGACTATCGTCTTTGAAACATACCTCTATGTTTTCTACACAACGAATACTACGTTTTAATGCAATTAACTTAATCGCACGCTTTAGTTTCTTACACCAGGACGCATTCCACAGAACAACTCAACGGGTACTTGGTGCCACCATCCCTGACAAGTTCATTTTGTGCGGCAGCACGACTTCACAGAAACGCTTCGATTGAAAAGGGAGCGATCGTGCTTGCCGCACGCACTGCGTAATGTAGCAACTCGGGTTTCTTTTCCCTGTATTCGGCATCCTTCTATATATAAACACTGCAATTCTTTATACCTTCTGTAGGAACTCTCTCAAACTCGCTGAAGCACCACTCTTGAGTACATCCGGAATCACTTTGAAAGCTTACACTATGAATAACAGATTTGTCACAAAAAGAAGAAATGCTTCAGCGATATTGAGCTCATCGTCAGCGAAACACCGAATCCTTGCACTTCAAAGCTCTCACAGCGACTAACCTAGAAGCACGGCCAACGCGACTATACGCTAAGGGAGAGGGAAATATAGTCCCGTAACGATTCCGAACTTTACTAACCACATTAGCCGAATGCTTTCATGCACGCCGGTGGTGCACCCTTCAAAGCGTTCCCGCCCATCGCAAAAACGAAGTAAGCTCCACGACTGAGTCGCCCGCAATTAAAAGGAGTCTTCTTTTCTCCGCGACCAGGTTCTTGCCGCAATTAGCGCAGCGGCACACACACACACAGTCAGTCAGTCAGTCATTTATTCGCTGGAAACAACGAAGTGCATCGCTTTCTTCTTAAACCACCGCCGCGGTAAGCCCATTTCGACCGCAAATTAATAGTGTCTGTGTGTCGAGCAGAAACGAGCAAAAAAAGACGGGCGGCAAGCATGGTTGCCCGCTCTCGAGGATGTTTCATTAACGGCGGCCTTTTGACGACAAAGGCAGCGTGACACGGGGCTGCCGGCGGCGAAGAAAGGAAACGGGGACCCTCTTTTGCGCGGATTAGCCGAAGCGACCGAGCGACCGCGAAATTGCGAGCCGACCGCGGGATAATCCGGTGGCATCGAAACCGCGCGGGAAGACTCGATTCGAGAGGATTACAGCGGAGCAATGCAGCCAAGCGGCTTCCCCTATAACTTACTGGCATGTGCGTCTGTGTACGAGCGCTTTGCTTGATGCGCGCGCGTAGTGTGGGCAAAGTATGAAGCACGATACGACGCATTAGCAGGCCATGCACTCCACGCGTTGTATGCTTGTCACAATGTCACCAAGTAAGCTCCGGTTCCAGCCTATGAGCGGGCGCTCTGTCTTTTCCGAGTATATTATTTGTCGCGCTCGAGTCGGGACGACACAGCGTACACAAATGCGATCAGTCGCTGTTGTCTTTTTGATGGTGTTTCATAAACGTCGCCGCATTCATCGACGTTCTATGTATAGCGTGACTAGCCATGATCATTCTGCGCGGCTGTTAAAAAGCTGTGACGAGCAGGAAACCACAGCTGCGGTGTAAATTGAACATTTCTCACCATACCAGTACGATGCTACCACGTTTGTCAGGACTAGCGCTCGCAGAAGGCAAGCACTTATAACAACACCCTGTCTTCAATGAAAAAGCGGTTGTCAAGCTATACCGCAAGGCAAAAAAGATGAAACAACTAAAGAACCTTGAATCCAGACCTTGCCTTGTTCTTTCACTCGTATACCCTCTGATATGGCCGCTTTTGAGGCTAACTGCAGCCTGTACCTACAGATTCGCCCAAGAAAATAACTATGGGCGTCTGCGGTTTTCTGGAGGTGTTCGCCTTACCGAGAAGCGACGTTAATTTTCCTGTAATTGCAACCATGGTAACAGCCTAATTTTTTTTTGTTTCCTTTCGAGTCCTTGTTTAACGGGAAAAGCACTCCATCTTGAACGCACGCAATTTGTATTTCTGCCGTATTCCTGGCATCAGCGACGACGATTACATGGCCTTCACGGTGGAAAACCGCCACTTTGCGCTGATGACTCTGTTAGTGGGGCGCACGCCGCAACAATTACGTTCCGGTTTCCCCTCGCCGTCCCATTGGCACCTTCGTCGAAGTGCAAGAGAGCACACTATACAAAAGCCGCTTTCGCGCTATACCCTCCCTAAACAAAAGGCTAACTGTTACACTCTCTCTTTCGCCTATGAAGTTTGATGCACAAAGCGTGCGCTGTGGCAGCTGTTCGCAAGGGTAACCAATTAGGTCTACCGTTGCTTTAGTTTGTCCCTATTCCATTTTTTTGACGCTATACATGACAAAGAACCTTCACTTTGCGTTTGAATTGAGCTATGGGAGTTCAATTTCAGCCACATTGATTGATTGATATGTCGGGTTTAACGTCCCAAAACCACCTTATGACTATGAGAGACGCCGTAGTGGAGGGTTCCGGAAATTTCGACCACCTGGGGTTCTTTAACGTGCACCCAAATCTGAGCAGACGGGCCTATACGACATTTCCGCCTCCATCGCAAACGCAGCATGTCGCAGCCGGGATTCGATACCACGACCTGCGGGTCAGCAGGCGAGTACCTTAGCCACTACACCACTGCGGCGGGGCGGCCACATAATTTGCTTTTTATTTCCTTGCCTCAGTATAGTGCAAATTTTTTGCTCTTTTTGACTTCGTTCCTTTGCAGTGCCCGTGCGTGTTCGCCCGTCAATGTGCACATGTATCTACTGCTCCGTCTTTTCCTTCTTTTTTTTCCTTTTTTTCCTGTTCTATTGTGTCCTCTCTGAAGCTACAACTGTAGAGAATTTAGATAGACGCCATTTTTTGCATTTTGCGGGGATAAAGGCTAAGTATTCATTCGTGACCGTAAACGAATCCAACTGGCGCGCGCAGGCTGCGGCCTTCTACGCCCGCCTGCGACACGACCACGGACCCGAGCCGCGCTGCTTCCGGCGCGACGGGCGCGGCTGCGGGGTCCGAGGCGAGCGACGGAGCGCGTTCGGAGGACGAGGACGAGGACAGCTTCCACGGCGAGGTGGACGTCACCGACACCAGCAGCGACGACGGACGCGCGCTGGTGGCCGCCGCCGCACCGGCGCACACCAGCTGTGAGTATATTTATAGCTCCGAGAGCGCATGCTATACTACCACTTACAGGACAAAAAAAAGCCGCGGCATGAGCCCCTGGCAGATAACCTATTCATATACCGAAGCGACGGCGTACAGGGGGGTGGAAAGAAACACGAACAGCGTGGTGTGCTGTTTATTACAGAGTTTCAGTACTGCGTATACGCTGCGTACGTGGCGGCGTTGCGTACGTAAGGACGCCACGTTTTGCGTAGTGCGCATGCGCAGACCGCAACGCGCACGTATCGCGTTACGTACGCAGCTGCTACGCACGCACGCATGAGATGCGTGCGTGCGTACGTATGAGGTGATCGCGCCGCTCTCGAGCAAATTCGCGACAGCGCGAGACTTCGTTTTGCAAAATGGCGGCATCGAAGGCAAGCACCGACCGGCTCTGCATGTGGCTTAAAATATGGCCATAATCTGGCTATAACACTTGGATTGGCTCACATTGGCTGTCAACAACACGTACTTCTATTTTGATATGCCAGATGACGCAACACGCTTCACGCTCGTTACGTACGCGGGTACTACGGCGTACTAAAAGCCGATTAGTGGCAAACGACGCCACGTAACGCAAGGCGCTTGCGTGATGCGTACGTAGCACGATTCCGCAGTACTAAAACTCTCTATTATCGCACTCTGACCTTAGTGGCAATAAAAAGATGGTAGAATGATTGTTGCTTGTATCATGGATGACTGTAGTTTTTTTGTTTAATCGCCATCCAGGCTACAACCACTTGAAAAGAAAGCGAAACAGCAGAGATTGTAGATGCCGCACTGTCCGTGTTTCTTCCCGTCCACACTGTACACACTTTGATGGAGAAGCAACCGTTATATATATACACACACAAACAATGCAATTGTGCGTCCTTCCTATACATTACAGCTAATCGCGTGTCTCGGCGCGAAGCGAAGTATGTACTGAGAACACCTGGCGGGGTCACTTTGGGTCAAGGACCCAAGAAAGCTGCCCACACTTGTAAACGGCTAATGACCCCAACTTCTGCATGCGCAAACGGCTCTGAACAAGTGCCCCGGAAAAGCTTACGGGAAGTTTTATTGTGACATTATAGTTCATTGTCGCGTGGCCCGCCTAATGACATCCACACTACATAGCGTAACGTCAAGCTACAGTATCGAAATACCCTCCAGTATACGGCTAGTTTCGATGACGTCAGGTACCAAAACAGGAAACGGCCGTATCTGTGACGTCAAGAGAGTCCTCTGTGTGGAGCGGCGTCCGAAACCTCGCGACATCTTGCGTGAGCACATGACGACAGTCTCATAGCGTGTCGTCACAGCAAGGGAACCAAACAATTTCTGCGAATATGTGGTTACTCTTTCAGGGCACACTCAAGCTTAGCCAGTACATTTCCTAGGATCATGAAGGCGCGGCTTTTCATTTGAAGAAAAAAAACTAAAATTTTGATGTTGGTGCACCAGGAAGTGTTGTCGTTCACGGTATTTCCTATTTTAACATACGAATTTTCTAGCAACCGTTGATTGAGGAGTAAACAAGCAAACGAGCGCATCTTACGGCACCGCTCAGTTCGCGTCCCTGACTCACGCCATTTGAGAACGAGAGCCCGTGACTATATCTTCCTTTGTTTAGGGCATAGACCCCACAACACGCGTCGTCGTTCTTACGTAATTCAACGCGCACCCGCGTTCGCAGCGTCGCCGCCGCCAAGCCCAGCGGCGTCGGAGGCAGCGCCCGAGAGCCGAGCGGACGCTGGCCGCACACCTGTGCCGGACACCAGTGACGCTGGCTTCGCCAACAAGCAGGTTAGTGTTGATTGATTGATTGATTGGTTGATTGGTTGGTTGATTGATTGATTGATTGATTGATTGATTGATTGATTGATTGATTGATTGATTGATTGATTGATTGATTGATTGATTGATTGATTGATTGATTGATTGATTGATTGATTGATATGTGGGGTTTAACGTCCCAAAACCACCATATGATTACGAGAGATGCCGTAGTGGAGGGCTCCGAAAATTTCGACCACCTGGTGTTCTTTAACGTGCACCCAAATCTGAGCACACGGGCCTAGAACATTTCCGCCTCCATCGGAAATGCAGCCGCCGCAGCCGGGATTTGAACCCGCGACCTGCGGGTCAGCAGCCGAGTACCTTAGCCACTAAACCACCGCGGCGGGGAAGCAGGTTAGTGTGTCTGCCTTATAGCAGTACAGCTAAGCAATGTGAATGATATGGTGCCCAGTTAAAAAGAAGAACTCTCCATTCCCTAGAGGTACCCACAGGCTTCAATGTCGTCATCAACCCGAATTAGCGAAACTATCATGGCACCGAATATTATTTAACAAAGCTTAATCTTAAGTTAAACGGTTTCAAATAATATTGGGATTTCTTTCTATGTTTTTTTTTCTTTCCTTTGGGTATGTGCTCTATTGTTACCACGTTGAAATATCTATAGTAGATATAGTTACAAGCCTATAGTTTTATTTCGAATATACTACGTGCCGTGGTCATGCATGGAACAAGAGGCTTCACAGTCGGCCAGTGGCATAGCCAGGGGGTGACACACCGGGCCCATGCATCCCCCTCCCGAATTTTTTTCCGCCATGGCATACAGCGCATTAGGACCATTTGCTGGCCCGACCCCCATTTCAGATCAAAAAGGTGCCCCCCTCCTCCCCATTCTCAAAATATATTTCTGCATGCACCGCTGCAAACTGCAGTGCTTTTACGTACCAAATGGCTCTTGGGAAAGCGTTGGTATATTGTCCCTGTAAATGGCGTCAAAGAATTACGGTGGTAGCTTTCGTTATTCAATGGTTTATGCGGCAGACGACCCTGATTGTCACCTTTCTTGTAGCAAAAATTGAGGTATCGGATGGTGTGGCTATAGTACCTAGAATATACAATATATTATGGTAATGGTGTGACCTATATTGAAAGGGCCCTCCTTGATATCAAGAATCGCGAATAAGATGCCACCGCCCGTCATTTATGAACCGAAAGAAAAACTAGAGGTACAAACATTACGCAAATTCCCAGCGAGGAAAAAAAAGCTAGCTGAACGAAATATATAATTTCAAAATACAACAAGCTGGCATCCACTCATACCTGCTGGTAATGCGCTTCATAATCCTTAATTTAAACTTACATTGCGTAAATTAAGCTACCTTGAATAAGCTCACCTTCGTTAACTAGACATTAACGAGTAATGTCTAGTACATGGAGTGCAGTTTAACATCAACAAACTGCCAATATGGTCCTCGTAAGTAAATACGTGACGCAGCTCTATGCGCCAGTAGGCAGTACAGAAATTATTACCCGTTGTGGCAATCCTCGGTCAAAATCACAAACATATGACGCAGTAAGTGCTTTTGCCATTGGCCAACTAACCAACTAGTCTGCAATCACAATTGGCTAAAGGTTGGATTCCATAGCGCACGTCATTTTTGCCAATTACGGCCCCAAATTCCTGTTGCAAGTATCTCCTCGATTCTACAAAGACTGCTCGTGCTTTGATCCGGTTAGTCTTAAAGTAGCCGTCTCAATCATACAAGACAAACAATACCTGATTCCAGTAGTAGATTTGCTGCCTTATTAGCTGTGTCGGAGAACTGGCAAAGATGAAAATTTCCGATGTTTCATTTGTACGAGTAAGGACAAAAGGAGAGAAGGGTTTTGCTCTGCTAACGATAGCAATCTCACGCTAAAAACAAAAACAATGAGATGCAAAGTTGCTGAAAGAAATAAGCGAAGAAGAGCGAGAGAGAGCGGTTAAAGATACGAAGGTGTGCGAACAAATCCCACTCTTCCTCGCAACCTTCTGGTCGACGTGCACGCGCAAAAAAAAAGAATAACAGAAAAAAACAAACGCGCCGTCCGTGTCGGGGGTTCTTCAACTGGATACCATTCGAATCCAATCTCGGCTCCTCTCGTCAAACAAGCGAGCGCGCGGAACAGAGTCGTCGTTGAATGTGTAAACGTGAAGCACGCAAGCGGCAGACGCACCGAGGAGCGGTATAGCAGTCAAACCCGATCCGCGTGGAGAGAGGGTTACATGCAAACACGCACACACGCACCCCAAGCGCAAATTGGAAAGCGGCCGTGTGTGCGACAAAGGATCGGAAGGAGGAGGCCCAAACGCGACACCACTTGTCGTGCTCGTCGCCTGCCAGCTGCCTCGACGCGGCACAAAAGGAGCGCTGTGTCAACTCGACCGGCGACGTGACGGTGCTAATCGAGGCACGACACTCGCACATTGTCGGTGGAACGGTAGTATAGCGCTGCAACGGTAGCGACCGCGCGTAGCAGTTTGACCGTCGGTGTAGTCGAGTTTGAGAGAGAGAGAGAGAGAGAGAGAGAGAGAGAGAGCGCTACGAGGTGTCGCAACTCTTTTCGCCCGTCCCAGTGGCGCGCCCACCTCCTCCCAAACGGGTACTTGAGCACTGATTAAAATCGCAAGCCGGCGGCAAAGGTAAACAGATCCCGGTTCCTCGGGCCGTGCGCCGTACCGTTCATCTCCTCCTCCTCCTCTTCTCCCCTTTCGACTCTGCAATGTACTGCCGAGCTTCGCTCCAAGTGCGCATTTTTTACCGGTCGTATTGAAGCGGACGATGCGGCTCTGGGCTGACAACGTCGAAGCGCCCATACCGAAGGGTCGCGCGTGTACGTAAGAACGCACGCACTCACTGGTGAAAAAATAAATAAAAGGGAAGTGTTCGTTAGATGCTTAGATGTAGCGACAGACCCCCCAAACTTAGCAGCGCAGTTTTCAAATCAACGCCCTATCAATGCAGGCCGCTTCCGTACGTGATTTTACTTCAATGCTCGGTTCAGTTTAACTTAGTTCTTGTCAGCGTCTTCCAGCGGTGGTAAATGATACGTTTTTCCCTTAGCGCCATCTTTGTTCGGAGCTCGGCCAGGTGATTCAACGCGCTTTGGCGCGCGAAATCAGAGCGGCTTTATTTAAGCGCGCTGTTGACACTAACGCCCGGCGCCGCGGGCGACGAAGGCTCGATCACGCGAGCCGGAGTCCGGAAACAAAAGGTGCGTGCCTGCGTTCGCCGGAGTATACGCGAGGCGGCAGTTCGTTAATGAACAGAAAACGCACCGGAGATTCCTTTCAGGTGCGGCGAGGCTCGAAGGTGGGTAGGGGGAAAGGAGGTGGTGACGGTGTGGAGCTCCGAAGTCCACGGAGAGTGGAACCAGCGGGCTTGCAAATGATGCTCGCCCCGAGCTTGTATACGCCGTTGTGAGGGGCAAGCCAGAAGAGCGTACGCCGGTGGTTGATGGGAAAGCGAGGAGATATCTGATCGCGCGGAGCATTCGTCTCGTCACTCCATTACCATGTGAATTGAAAACTATGCACGAAAAAAACAAAGAAAAACAACAACAAAAACGAGCGCGAACCATCCTATTGGTGCTTCGGTTCGTGCATAGCATGGCGCGCAAAGTAATCAGCCGTTTTTTTTTTTTTTTGTGGATCATACCGCCTTGTACGAGTTCTCTAATTTCAGTTAGTTTCTCGTTCGTGCGAACCACTTACACGCCTGGCGCGCTTCAGGCCGGAATCCTCGGGGCATGTGAACACGACTAGCGCGTTCGGGTGTAGATGAAGTTGCGTACAGGTTACTCGTGCTAGCTTGGAAAGTGCTTACCGTTGGCCGCGGACTTGGAGCGTGCATCCATTGACGGGCGCTCTTGTGTTTGCCAGCGAATGCAGACGCGTATATATATAAGCACGTGAATTCGGTCAACGCGTCGTAAAAGTAAGCTGGCTAGCGTTCACTATTTGCACTTGGGAAGCAGCGCGAAAAGCAAGAAAGAGAACACAACTAACAGGAAGTGCATGGATGAGATAATGACGAAGAGTGCAGAGTGCCAACACATTTGGTGTTTTATTAGTTTAGTAATTGAAACCACCCTAATGAGGAACTCGTGAAGGAAAGTGCTTGGCTCTTCCTGTCGAAGTGACGACGATTGTATGTGTTACTGCGTGTATTCGTAATCATTACATATACCCCAGCCAAAAACCCGACACCTGGAACGGCAAGCCAGGTGATAAACCAGACTAATATATCCAGGGTAACCATTAAACACTGGTGTTTGCCTGTCTGAATATAACTAGTTTTATGATCCAGAACCACGATATGAGGCACGCCGTGATAGAAAGCTCCGGAAATTTCGATCGTCTGGTGCCCTTTAATGCGCATCGACAACGCACAGTACACAGGACTCTAACATTCTGCTCCCATCAAAATGCGGCCTGCAGCGGCCAATACCGAACCGGAGGTCTATCAATGGTGGCGTCTAAACGGGTATTATTTTCGGTGCAGTGCAAAGCAATGCTGGTTTTCGTAATCACGCACTATGCCTATTGTTCCCTGCAACTGATTATGGCGTCAATTTTTATTGTATGAGAACACTTACATATACTGCAGCCATAGAAACAGGCTATTCTGCTTCACAGTCTCCCTGTGTCGTAAACTATTTCACTTATCCGGTGGTCTCCTTTCCCCAAATATACATTTTGGTTAGTAAGCGTTATGTTTGCCTGATCGATAACAGAGACGAACTAAGGACAAATGACAACACCATTAGCCATGGTCTGTCTATAACTCGATACATCTTGATTCAGGGACCGACGGTCTTCCGAGTGATCATGCTACGATGTCATGAACGCTGTGACAAGCTAGCGCTCATCCTGCGGTGCATGTTCTTTAACGACGCACGCTGATCACAACGACAGCAAGTTCGCACGACACCTACGATGAAATTCTCGCTCTAGGCATCCATGACTT